GGTTTTTTTGGGGGGGGGGGGGGGGGGGGGGGGGGGGCGAAACGTTTCAGATGATCGAGATGGCCTTCCAGATACTGTAAAACTTCAAAAACAGTCCTACCGTACAAAGACAGAGAGAAGATAGGCACCTCCATTAATAATTATCGGAAAATCATACCAATACATGTACAGTAAATAAAAATAAAGTGGGTCGCAGCATAACGAAAATAATTTGTTCTTGGAAACGTTTCGGTTCGTGAAATACGTTTTCACTCGCAATTAAACCTCAATTGATTCAAGCCACTCATCAAAATACCATAATAAACAAAAGAATTTGTATTTTTCAGCAGAAAATTGTGAATTAATTACGGTTTAGCATGAAACTGGAGTTATCATGACAACTCTTGTTCATAAATATCATAACTTCCTGAATTTCTCAGTTTGTAAGGACAGGAAGATGCAAATCTACACCCTTCTTTTCTCATTTCCCTCTTTTTTGGAAATTCCAAAGTTGGCATTAAAATTTCATTTAAAAATCTAAAATGTAAGCACTTCTGGGCAAAAATTTTGCCAACGCATATATAGTAAAAATTCGTTACAACGAAGTAAAGATGTAGAATAGCGTCATTATAACGAACAATTCTTCAAGAAGAAACTCAAATAACGTGGTGGCTATTGGGGAGGGACTTAGGATCGGTGAAAGCAATTACAGTGATTTGCTTCAAATATTCGTTGCAACGAGATTCTGATGTACCTGATGAAGGTACGGTAATGAAAATATTTAAATGGAATTATGCAAACGTAAAAGGGCAGCACTACTAAACCTTTTGACCTCTATCAGAAGCAAAATACAGACAAGGTAGAACACTTGCAGAGGTTGTGGACAGTATAGGAGGAGAGCTTTATAGTCATTACTCCGTCCATCTTATATTTGCCTTTCACTCAAAATAATGAATTCAAAAATTGGTCACGTAACTTTCATTTTCAGGTTGGTCAAACGAGATATAACCTCCGTAGTGTGGTCAGCCACGGATTTGAAGTGAAACACTTCAGGAGAATGAACGATGCAAATTTGGAAACTCACCTTGTAAGCAAGCAGTTCTCCCACATTCATGACTCAATTTTTCACAAGCATCGGCGCGAAGACAGAATAAGCACGAGAACGAACACCTGGAAAGCGGTTAACGAAAAATAAGCAATTTCCGTCAACAATTTCAGTGAAAGAAAAAAATTGGCTTCAATGAAACCCTTGAGGCGACGTCAAAGAAGAAACATTCATTTCAGGCACACCCAGACGGAAAAAAAACTCACTTTTCCATTTCGAATAGGCGTCAGGAAGCGCAAACATTCATCGAGTCGAATACGCAGAAACGCGAGGGCAATGATTCCTCGGCGTCGTCAGAAAATACCTCGCAGAAGTAGTTTAACAAAAGTTTCCCCATCAAGCTCTTCTCTTCATTCGATTGACATGAAAGTCTATCGCCAGCACTCATTTTCACAATCCCAAAATACGGCCAACACTCGAGGGGATGGCAAGGAAGACAAATATTTTTTCCGCACAAACCAACAAGCCATGTCATTTTTTTCTCACAAAAATCGTAAGGCACAAACAGACAAAAAATGCGTTGAAACGATGAATCACCGAATTTTCCTCCAAAGAGAACAAAACGGAAAATATGCGGAAACTTTGATGACGCCAACAAACGTCTAATCACGGGGGAAAAAAACAAGAAAGCCATCCCCTAGAGGAAATCACCAATGATAGCCTCATTCTTTAAGACATGGTAAGCTAAAATAAAAAAGGCACTCAGCTTGCACCATAGAAATCTCATCCAACAGCTCATTTTCCTAAAGCAAAAAGTTAGAATAAAAAACTACAATTTCTCCGAGTCCGTACTAGTTGCAAATGTTACAAGATATACTTTTTCAAGAAGCACACGCAAACTTCTTTGAACTTCATGATCGAACTTAGCGTCGGGGGGAACGCGAGAAGTATTTACATAATAACAATGTCGAATGCATCACCAGAAAGAAATAAATTCTTTTATCCACCAGAATAAAAAGGGAAATCGCGAACATGACGAGTTCGCATGGCACTTGCCTTTCCTTCTTCATAGCCCTATTTTGTGCCCATTGTTTTTCTTCCTCCATAAAATACAAAATTCAAAGGAACAGGAAAATGCAACCTCTTAAAAACACCTTGAAAAAAAGTAAGTTTGCCTCGTTACTTGAAATGCCGGTGTGAAGAAAGCTGCGTTCAGGAAATTCACGAAACTGAGGATATGGGATTGTGTGGAGATCCCATTTGAGTGAGAACTTTGTCCAGCCAAAGCAACGGGCCGTGCAAATGAATTTCTATCCAACATGGCGTACTAGTGACATCTTGCCGATGATATTCTGCACCCCAACCTTTGACAAATGACATCCTGCAGGAGAGATGGACAACACAACGTCAACAGAATAAATTTCCCGATTAGGCGCAATAATTTTAATGGGGAATCTCAGAGATCTCGCATTCCACTTCTGAACTGAAAATTATCGAACTCGAATCATTTCGTAAGTTCTGAAGCCCGACGGAAGAAAATCTTTTTTACTGACCTCAACTTGAAACAAAATATGCATTACTGTACTAGGTTCTACACGCTTTCAGGCAAAAATTCACAAGTGAATACTGTAATTTTGAATTCATTAATTCTCGACAGACCAACTGAGAACAGATCCGAGACCTGGATAGGCTAATAATACTGCATGTAAAATTTTACCGGAACTTTCAACATAAACAGAATATCACGACGAAAAAAGGTTACCGAGACTTAAAACGATAAAATGTGTACCACTTCATTTTTTCCCGATTCCCAGTCACCATAACAGAAATATGTTTTCAAAACTCGGATAAATTATCCATCTATAATAATTAATTCAGAACGAGAGATATAACAGATGACCAGAATGAATCTGTACGCATACGGACATAATGCAATTGAGCCCCCGTTGTAGCACAAACGGTTTTGGGGAAACATTTTTAAACACAGGAAAACTGTACAATTGAAGCACAAAATACAGTGAAACAAGATGTATGACATACCTGATGGTGCACATTTTCGTCAGTTCATATACAGCTTCGAATCCCTGCGCCACGTTGTTTGACAGCAAATGAGCAAATTCTTGGTTGTTGAAGATCTTCAGCGAGCACGAAGGCGGAATTTTGCAAACAGTCGTTGGATGGAATCCGTGATGGTAGTTGCAGTTGCGTGATTGCACAAAAATAGCACTATCCGATAAACACTCGGCATACACTTCACCACCAACGTAGTACAAATGCACGCCCTTCCCAATGTGGCGTCTCGTGTTCTCAATCGTTGAATTCCTGTTCACATTCGATAGAAGCCCCAGGCAAAAGCGGTTGGTATTCGATGTAGGGTTTGTAAAGCCATCAACAATCACGGAGCTGGAAGTGGCTTGAAAAACTTCTCCCACACGAGAATTCAATTCGTAGTAAGCAATAGTTGCCCAGCTGGGGGGTTCCTGCAAAACAAAAAAAATTCAAGATAGTGTACGTTTTTGTTCGATAGGCCGTGTTAGTGTAATCAGACAGATTTCATTCCCAAAACATAAGATACAATTAGTGTTCCAAGGAAAGCTAAAAATAATTTATAGTTCGACCAAAACGCAGAACCACATGCATACACCGAAAAGAATATGATGGGAAATTTTGCCAAAATATTCATTTTTTCATTCGTCATTCGAATCGAAACTAAGCAATCTGACCTGATAAGGGACAGCTTGCATGTCGCTCGGAATGGTTGCCGGAACAGTTGGAGATGTGTCCATCGCATCTATCTTGACCCCAGATGATCGAGTTCCACCCTCGTCAGACGGAAATCCTGGGGATGGGCTTTCAGCTGCAAATACAATACACAAATGTAAGCACTCATAAAAACAATACAAAATACCAGAGACGAACCTTTTGTCGGCATTGAAAATGGGCTTTGCGGTCCCGACTGAACTGAACCAGGTGATGGAACACCAGACACAGTGCTCATTGCAGGACTTGCGGGACCCTCAATACTACTCGGCCCCGCAAGTGAACCTGAACCACTCAACCCAGGATTAAAACCTTGCGCGGAGTAAGACACGTTATGAGGCATCATTGGGTCCGGTGTTTGGTTGAAAGATAACATTGAATGGCCAGGAGCGAATTCGCTGTGACGCGGGACGAGGACCGGAGGCAAAACTGAAAAATATAATTTCCGATGAGAGGCGTCCGCACGGCAGAAGAGAAGTATGAGACTGACCGGGACTTTCGACGCGCTTATAATGATAAGGATTGATGCAGACTTCCTTCTGTTTGGCGGAGAACGGATAATTGCATATTTCCAGAGGCTTCAGCTCATGGTGTGATTGCAGATCAGGCCAACGCCAAACACGGCAATATATAACATGCGGGAGCCCTTTTCGGTGAGAAACCTAGGACACGAACGATAAATTAACTACGATTTCAAGGAAGAAGGGATCCTGTCTTACCTGAAGTCGACCATCTAAGCTTCGTGGTATGGTTACACATTTCGACGGCTCTCCCGGCGACGATAAAGCTCTCTCGAGATCTTCGAGAGCACCTTTTCTCTTTTTAAGCTTTTTGACCAGGGAATCCACTGCCTTTTCTGCCCATTTCTCTTCTTCATCTCCTTGTTTCCAGCCAAGAAGTTTTTTAACCGCCGGGGAAGTAAATGAAAAAAGACTATTCAAGGAAGACATGTTCGAACAAGTCTGGAAAGCACCAGTCAGTACAAAAAGTTCTGGGATAGAATGACAGATATAAAGCATACATTGAAACACTTCGGTTATCACTTCCATAAATGACATCGCAGAGAATATTAACATTCGTTTTCACACACTTTTCGAAACTCATTCCAACCACAATCAATGGTAGCAGCACTTATGAAGCAAGTTTGAAATCAGGCGAATCCGGAGTTCCACAAAATATTAATGCAAACAAGAACGCAAACGAACCATTCAGCTCTCGGCTGACACTTCATCTGACTGGACGACGCTCCCAATGTTATCAATCACGATTTCACATGAAAGCCACACCGCCCAGTGCGAGAGTTAGTCGGACGATTATAACAAAGATGGCAATGAAAGAAAAGCTTTAGCACAGAGCTCCGCAAGAAATGTGATTCTCCATCATCCCAGTGTCAGTACTGTACTGTACAGTAGAAATGCTGAACTGCATGTCATCAATAGATTAACTTCAAACATAAATTAAAAAATACTGCAACCCTCACTAAATTAAGAGCACAATTCTTTCAAATAGAAGATCATGTTTATCAAATGTTAAAGTTCTCGCTTTTTATTGGCATAGTATGATTCCTGAGCTCGGATGAATTCTGGATAATCAATGTAACCATCATTGTTTTTGTCATGTTGACGCAAGACTCGGTCCACCGCTTTCGCGAGTGCCTTGTCAGGGAATACTCCTTGTTCAAAATAGTTTTCTGATTTGTTCTTCAGTGGCTCTTTATTTTCTGGAGCATGCCTATGAATCAGAGATTGTATGAGTTCAATCCCATCCAGCTTTCTGTTCCTATCAGAGTCGTGAATCTTGAAGTAGTACTGCTGCAACTCCTGAAAGAGAAAAATTGTGCCTGAAGTAATCTGAGACCCTCAGATCTTGAATGCACCATTGTGTCCAAACAAGAAAACGGTGAAATCTAATTCACGTTTCCGAGAAAAAACGCTGGATATTTTTGAAGTTCTGAAAATGTCCTAGCCTGGGAAATTGTACACGTTAACTGCGACATCATGCGTAAATTACAATACAGTAACGTATAATATACGCTTTCCATCATTAGGATATATGTCTGATATAATAAGGAAAGGTGTGATCCGTGATTCATTGCTAGCGGCCACTTTCTCTCCTCGATCTTCCCAGCACGGAGTAACTTCTGTGCTGGGTGTGAAGAATGTTCCAAGATCCAGTTACTGTCCACATTTCGCATGGAATGCGGCGTGAAAAAATCATCAAGCACAAAAATTCGACAAGTACCCACAATAAAACTATATCTGCACATATGGTCAAACCCTGAACTCACGCATTTGGCCCAAATTCTGCACTAATTATTACGACTGCTTTCGCAATTATCGCCTCCAGAGGCTGACCGAACTCCGAAATCTCAAAATTTGAACATATACACTGTAAATTCACACAATTTGATTGCCCTTTTATTCAGAAACGAACGCAGCGATCATAACAAAATGTCATCAGTAAGGAAGATAGTGGCGCTAAAATACTTGCCTGCTCTGTCATTTCGCTTGGATCTTTGGGGACATCCATGTGATGCTCAATGTGCTGCACATCGTAAGAATCGCGCGCAGCAAGATCTAACGAGCCACTTCCTTCAGTTCCAGTATTGAAGTCTCGATTCAACCACATGGTCTCACCAAACTCACTAACAAACCAAAGCAATAGCGCAGTAACCCTAGTCCTCATGATGTGCGGAGCAAAATTCTCTCACGGCTCACCTCGATATGAAAATTCTATTCGCATCGAACGATGAGGAGTGTATTCGAAGAGAATAGAACTAATTTCCGCTCCGAATAAAAAAATTAGATCGCGGTTTCACGTAAGAAGATAAATTCCAAAGAGGAATAAAACATTCAACACTCATCGGTATAGCGATCCGATTTTTACTTTGATCCACAGTTGCTCACAGATAATGGAGCACACAAGGAATGAATATTTTTTTCACCGTGATTACACAACCAAATTTACTTGATCTGATCATTCCGCGCACAAAATTAATTCTGAATGTGACCACCTCACACCGATATAATACCGTACTCGGTTAGCCTCGAAATACACTCGATTTGATCATCGATGACTGAATTTTTGACGATGTCGGCAAAAAATGATAATTCAACAATTTTAGAACATTCGGTCCTCGAAAACCAAAATTAATGCTACATAAATGGCGTCTGAACAGTTACTACGCGATGAAACATGTTGAAAAGAAAATTTTAACAAACGGTCTCAGTTTCTCCTCTCGAAAAATCTTCCCGGAATGCAGAGGCATAGGGTAAACACCGTCCATACGACTCGTGCGAGAACAACGGAAATGAAAAGCCACTTTCACGAAATATGTTGTACATCTAGAATTAGTTTTAGCCAAAATAAGGCAAAGACTTCAACTTTTCATCCCAATGCCAAGACCAGGAAGACAATACGTTCAACATTTCCGAAGCTCATCATCATTTGAAATACTTAGCTGGTCCGAGCGCCTCTGCGTCGGACAATTGTTCGGAGAACGTTACGCCATAGAACCAGACTGTGGGGGTTTTTTCAGTCAAAATGATTGAGAATCTTCGAACTTGAATAACAGATCTAATACGCCGCGATTTGAAAAGTCATTAAAAATGTCTCACTGTAAAGAAACTTTTCGGACAACCTACTCGATCCCTGGTCTTTAACAAATATTGCCAATGCTTTTTCCTAAAATTTGTGCACAGGATCCTCAAAGACCCTTCTCAAGCACTCAACAGATGACCGATGTTTTCAATTAAAATAAAACTCGCGAACGTGAAACATAACAACACGCGCCAATTTCGAAGCATATACCGAAATGCTAAAATAGATTCAACAAAACAAAATAATCTCCCCGTATCACAAGGTTTCACAGAAATTTCCGTTCAACCGACAGTCACCAAGATTCTTTTCAAGGGTTCTTCTGATTAGCTGCCGCGGCAGCAGCAGCTTCCTGGGCTTTCACAAACTCGAGATAATCAATGAAACCGTCGCCATTTTTATCGTCAGCTTTCAGAATAGGATCGATCATGTTTTCAAGCTCTGCGTCTGGGAAGATCTTCGGTTCTGGCGGAGGAACTCCAGCGCTGGGATCATGATTCTTCGGGTCGTGCCAATGAATCAGCGATTTCACAAGTTCCAGTCCATCCAGCATATTATTGTTGTCCGCATCGTGCATTTTGAAGTAATGGAATTGCAGCTCCTGTTGAAGAACGTAGTCAGTTCACGACATAAAATACTTTTATCCCAAGCATAAAAAGGGGACATTTTTTCAACGAATATTTTTCAACTGAAATATATTTTCTGAGGAAAATTTCCCTGCCAGAGGTATTTTCAGAAGTTATTTTTCTCGATCTAGATTTTTTCCGGGGTTCCTACAGGAGAAAAAAAAAACAAGGAAGTACAGTACTACAGTTTGAAAATGACCAACAGAAAATTAGAATAACACATTACTCGTGTATGAGAAGTCAAACCTCGATAAGCAGCCAAAATTTGTTTGTGAGCTTTGAGGAGGCGTATGAAGGGATTCATGGTTCATCAGAAAGACCAAAATAATTTACAAATTAGGCATAATATGAAATACAAACTTTATCCTTCCTTCTAGAAAACAATCAAAATAACTCCGTGATACATAATTATACTGTACTAGCTGATGTTCCCAAGAAGTAAATTACGTCATCTTTGTTTGTATGTATGTGAGTGTGTTTTTTAATTGGAGACCTCTCACAAAAATTTGAATCACGTCGGCGGGGTATTAAGACAAAATTAATTTGGCAGGCGCATATTTGAGTCGTCGATAATTTTGAGAGATGAGGTTTCAATGGAGTTTCCAATGCTATCATCATTCGGGAAGATTTGTGATCTAAATAAATTGACGATTGCCCAGGATGGCAGCTTATTGGGGGCGTCTTTCCGAGTTTTACCCAATCCACGGTCAAAAAAAAGGGGGAAGGGGAAATTTAAATTTAAATTACTTCTATAGAAATGGCGAAAATGTGCTCCACGAGTTGAATTTTCTATTAAAATACCTGATCCGTCATCCGAGAAGTATCCACAGGCATGTCGAAGTGATGCCCCATATCATCTCGCTGAGCCTCCATGTGCTGCTTGTCCAATGGCCGACCTGCATGGTGATGGCCACCTGCCCCATGAGCAGCAACATGCGCACTCGGCTGAGCCTGGTGATGCACCTGAGGTTGTTGTTGCTGATGATGCTGCTGCTGTGGTTGGTGCATCTGTTGCTGATGCTGGTTCGGCGGCGGCGGTGGTGGTGGCTGCTGGTGGTGTTGCTGCTGCACTCCTTGATGATGAGACGGTGGGGGCGGAGGTGGGGGATACTGCTGGGCATCCCCAACTTGATACTGATTAGGATTCACATTTGGGGGTAATCGATCTTTCCCCGATACGCCGAGAACACAAAAAACAGCGAACGCAACCAGCTTCATCGCCACAACTTTTTTCTGTGGAATTTCATGTCAAACAGAAGATCAGGAAAATGCAACCCTCAAAATATGCTAGAAAATAAAATCATAGACACCTTGAACCAGGCAGCCATAAAATTTCACGACGATTAAGCAACACAGTGGAACGAGATTTAAAAAAAAAAAAAAAAACGAGCGTTCAGTGAGTGCTTGGCGGCACGACATACAACAAAATATAAACCGCATCCCACAGTCATCCACGGACACCAGGTTTACCAAATCCTCCATCGAATACATGAAAATACACTCATTGCTAATTATATCCCAAAATCAGCCCATGGCAGTATGGTTAGGGAACGCACCAGAAAATACTATCAAGTATCGCTTTCAATATCGCAGTTCGCAGAAGATTATAGCTTTCTGTTGCGTATTTTGATCGGTTCCAGAATGATGGTGAACCGCTGAACTCATCCATGTGAATTATGGCAAGTTCGGCTCACTGCGTCTGATGTCTTGATTTCGTACTTTTAAAAAGATATTGCAAATCACAGTAACTTTTTTTTCGGCGACGGATTTAAATTTCGCTCGTGTGAAAGAGCAAATTCGTCAACGGACGGAAAAGTTTTGTTTCATCAAGAGAAAATATGCCACAACTTCCGGGATCCTGCAAATACGGTTTCGCGAAAAAGCATTGAAGTGTAAAAAAATTTCGTTAAACGGAAGAAAGTTTCAAAGCTAACGAGGATTTCATCCGTTTCCGGATTAGAACCGCGCTTTCAAGACACTTCTTTGATTTCGTTTGGAAGATTCGTCGATCAAAAATAATTATTGCTTCAGTAAAAATGCACTGATTTTTTCCATTGCTCCGAAAAACCACAAAAAGCATAAAATACGAGAGATTAAGCAAACGTTCGCAGTCGCGTTTTTCTTTTGACTGGATCAACACAGATGATGATGCTCAATTCTCAGTTATTCATTTATAATGCAATAATGAAAGAAAAATATTTCAAGAAAATGCAATTAATGTTTAAAGAATGAACATTTTTTGACGAAAGCGAGGCCGCTTTTATCAGCAAGACTAAAGGTTTATTTAAAATATACGCTAAAATAAAGACCAGCACTCACGAGGCAACCGCAAACTTTTGAATAACTCTGCGTACATTACTAGCGAATTTTAACGAAATTATAAATTTCCCCAAAACCAAGTCACAATCGTAGCTAACATGCTTCCGATGTTGGTCATGTACAACGCACACTAGCTTCGTATCGCACTGGGAGGCACACAAGCAAACGAAAACAGATTTGCACCATTGAGTGATGCCACTCAAAGACCCAGTTTGAGCAACTCCAGCGAGCGCATAAGAGATCATTTTGATATAAGCCATGCTTGAGTTTTTCGAGGGCAGTTTTCACAGTTCGGGAACTAATCTGTAGGTGAAACCTATTCCTCACGCTCAGGATACTCGAGCGTGCTCTCGAACCAAGATGAGAAAGTTTCTAACGTAATTTACCGCAAAAGAGCAGGCATTCAAGTCAATTCAAAAATAAGATTTGCCATTTTACCGCATTTAGGCGATTAAGTAAAGAAAAATTTTTTAGCGCCTTGAAAATCGGGGGATTTCCACTCGTTGGAATATCCAAGTGTAGGTAGCATTACAGTCTCACACGCATGCTCTCGACATTATTTGAGATCAGCAAAAAAAATGATAATCAACACATTTACACGACTCAGTAAAACAATAATAATCAATTTCAAAATGTGTTACTCTTGACTCCTTGAAACAGTAAGAGTTTATCGTCAAAAAAATTAGTAGGTTTCCCACTTTCCCTTCAAACCTTATTATTCTTATTTTGGTCTTTAATCCTTCATATTTGGTGTGGCGCACAAGTACAGAGATATAATGACCTGCAAACAAGGGCTGTAAAATCTTATTTTAGCAATCAAAAATTGCCCCAGAGAACAGTTTCAGAACTATGTAAATTGGATAGTTTTGTCTCGCTGGACATTATAGATTAGAGCAAGTACCCCGGCATTCAATCACTTTCTGAGTCGCGCGGACGAATTCTCCATTTTAAAATAAGTGCTGGCTAAATTAAATAGGTTTTAGGAGTACATGTTTGCGAATGACATCGTCATTGACAATTTAAAAAAAAACTGTTCTCACAAAAAGGCATACCAAAATCCGTACGGAAAGAGAATATAAGGAAGATCGGCGTCGCTGATATTTGACATTTTCTGTCCAAGGTAACCCCCATTTCCGAAGTTCGGAGCATTCTTCACGGATTTTGCACCAATTCTGTTTTTCGATTTAGATTGCTCAGCTTTGGAAAGTGCAGCAAAATTGGTCATTTGAATAGAGGACTTCAGCCTCGCGAGAATGCTCATAAGACTTCAACAAAAGCAGTGTTATCATTACGAAGAAGTTCACGCGCAAAGATAAATTACCACATCCAGGGGATCAGGTGGGAATCGAAGCAGAGAAAACAAAATTTTCCAAAATGCAGCTAGAAAGCCCTACTCATCCAAAACAAATAGTCGGCAAAAAATCATTTGGAAAACCCGGCACGCGACTACCTCAGAGGCACATCCAGATTACACGGGAATGGGGTTCTCTTCAGGTGATGTACTCCGCACAACGTCCGGCTGTATGCAAAATGAATCCGATTTGTCTGAGCCAACATCCGCGGCGTTCAGGTGAGAATTGTTCAGTATTTCGTCCTGCGAGGAGTCAACTACGTCCGTCAATGTGTCATTTGTTTTGCTTGATTCCTTATTTCGTTCAAGCATTCTTTTGGTTTCCTGCTCCACCTGTCGCATATTCAAAAAACAAAGCATTAGTACCGCACGAGTTTAATCCCTTTTCTGAAACGAAAGAACGCATCCTTAATTCTGCATCTGTAATTTCTAATGCACTTTCACGTTGCTCTAAAAGTCTGAATTACAAACCATTCAAGAACTTCAACTTGGACATGGGTCAAGTTTTCATTTCACAGCTTCCGGAATAATGATTCGTAATTTTTTGTCAGCAGATTACAGCCTGAATCAAAATCGAAAAATAATTGTGGATACGACATACGACACAAGGAAGTTTTTAAAGCAATATTTATAAAAAAATGCGAAGGAGTTACATTACTATTTTCCAGATCTCCAGATGTTCGTCGAGATATCACATACTTCGTCACTTTCCAGACGGAAAAAAATACCTCAATTTTTACTTCTGTGGAACTTTTGTGGAATGATGGTATTTTGTACGTAAAACACCAATTAAAAATTATATAATGTAAGTATAAGGGAAAATGAGACTTGACTTAGGGACACTCTTGATGCACCAATTACGTCCGCATCTTGGGGTCTCACTGTACTTCATCTGTGGACATGTTCCATTATTTAATTATAATCCTGAATTGCGCATATGATTTTTATAGGCAGCATACTGGAACTACAGGTAAGAACATGAGATAATGCTCACCAGATGTGAGGTTAAGGCACGTTCCGCATCCAGAAGTTCAGCTTCAATTCTTCCCGGTTGCGAAACGCTAGAGCGAAAACTTCTTCGTCCAACAGTTCCCCGAAGTGAACTTCGTAAGCTTCCCAATCGTTGAAAGAATCCAGATTGTGTCTCACTTTGCCTTCGACGAGTATTTGGAGACAGACTCTGTTGAAATAAATGATCAAAAATTCATTGTGCATACGTACGTATGTTCTTTTTACTGCGAGCATCAATTTCCAGTCTAAAATCAATACATTTTTTAAAATACAGTTCGGCATATTGAAAAATACGGGGAAAACTTGCCATGATCACAGAAATGTCGGATCACAACTAGCTTTATTACGAGAAATATAATCTCTATCGATACACGTGCTTACCTGAGTTTGGATTTTCCGCAGGTATAACGATTTAAATTCAAGCCATGTCGTCAATCGAACACAGGGATCCCGGAGTAGCGGTATCCAGAAATCGTGTAGTGCCGTCAGCATTGCAGATGGTAAATTTCTTCCGGGGATGCCACTGGGCACGAACAGGGGCCCATACGCATTCTCTTCGAGAATTTCTTTCATCAAGAAGCGCACCCAGGGCTCCTTCAAGTGTTCCAAATTAAGTTCTCCGAGAGATTTAAGCATTCTCGATATCTTCAACAGGTTGTGGTTCTCCTCTTTCCTAAAAATGAGAAAATTTAGGTTTGCCACATCGCGTCCTGTAACTTCGAAATTTTGGTCGTACTTACGTAGAAAATAAGTAACATCGTTCGATGAAATTTGAGGCCCTGCCAACTTGTCCCGTTTCACGATCCAACAAATCTATTCCGAAATGCTGCAACATCATGGCGTACGAAGATACCACCCTATCTTTGGCCACTGGATGCATACTAATGGCCTTCGAGTAAGCATGGAAACATTCACCTCCTCAAACAACAACAGACTGGGAAATTTGTTCTTACTTGAGCTTCGTGAAGCTGCAAAGGCTGGGCTTGAAGATTCATTCCGTGCTCCCGAATCGGGAAAAGCCACTGAATCAAGCCATGATTCCTGCTGAGAAATTCGTCGTCCCCGGAAAACTTGTTCAAAATTTCATCGATGGTCAAGTCATTAGGTCTCATTCCCAACTGATTCGTATAAAAGCGGTAATTGTCCCACAAGTCTGGATGGTCCCGGAATCCCTACAGAAAAGAATTCATCGATCATAACGATCTGCAGGTTAGTACAGTCACAGAGATAATACTCACCGGGTAACCTTTCTGGTACTGTTTCAAGTCATCGGAGCAAAATTTACGGACAGATTTCCGTCGATGTGGATCAGGAAACTTAGATCCTATCAAGTCCTCTTGTTCTACTCTTGAGGCACTGGCCCCCATTCCTAGAGCATAACTAAATAAGGCAAACTCAAAATCTTACTGCTGATCACCGAAAATAGAATAACTGCAACAACAAAAAATTATCAAGACAACTACTTCAACGGGTAATATCAAACGCCTTCAGTTTACTAAAACAATGGACGAAATTTTCACTTCCTGCGCACACAGTACATAAAGCGACACTGTGAAATGCAAACAAAGTACCCTGCGTCACCAAAACACTTCTGCGAGAAGCAGGACCAAAACTTCGCAAGACCCCCGCACTGGCACTGCCCATAATGAATAGGTGGTTGTCAGTCCAGTTATTTTCACAGAGCGTTTGTCACGCCTGATGGTCTCAGTTTTGTTTGTTAAACATTGTACAATACATGTACTGTATACTGTTTCAGTTTACTGTATTCAACAGTTGGATACATTTTCATTACCTTACTAACGTACAATAGTCTTTTTCAACCTATGTTATGGCCACAAACAGTAGCCTAAAGAATTTTTTTATGGAATGACTACACAGTGTTCGTGTTTAACCATGAGGGATCATTTAATGTACAGGACAAAATTTCACCCACAATTTGGAGTCCCCCAAAATTTTTCTCAATTCTTCTGCCGTATATTTATTTTACTCAATTCATGAGAGGCTTGTGAAACAGCAGTTCAACCAAGCCGTGCGATCAGTTTTTGATGATATCACTGTACTTAATCAGGATGATATTGTTCAAGAATTCAAAATGGTTTAAGATGTTTGATTCAGACCAATGTGGACAAATTTTACAAGTTAGTCTAATTGTTTTGAGTAACATTTCAAGAATGTTTCCATCACTTCAAAAGGAATGGAACGAATTTACTGTCAAGTTGCATTTCTTTTTCATCACCATATGATTTTAACCTTGAAATTATCAGTGAGCTTGTAAAAAAAAATGCACTCTTTCGTGATGCCAGTTCCATGAGGAATCCTACATGCAGACAACAAAAAGAATTGCAGCAACAGGCTCGAAAACGGCGGTTATATTTTCTGCCATAATGACATCAGCCTGATAAGCCATAACACAGCACTTTTCAATTAGCATTTGGGAAAAATTAAAGAGCCCTATATTTCGCCAAACCTACAGCATCTTTAATCCCTGGTACGCATTCACCTACAACCATGGCATATTTTCAGCCCGACATGAAATCGTAAAACGCAAGAGAGAAAACGAATCGCGCGTTTTTCAGTTGGCCAAGAAAATATGCCAAGAGCGAGCACGTGAACTGTTTCCAATTGCACATCACCGAATCAACCAAACAATAGTCACCACCGCAGGCATATTTTCTCACTTTCTTTTTCAGACACATGGTCTCCACTCCACATTTTGCGTGATGAACACAGGCGTGAAAAACGCTCTTGAAGACAGTCAAATAAACAAATATTTGTATTCATGTGGCAAAGCTCCACGCCTAGGATAGAAAGTATGCTGAGGGGAGAAGTTCATGAGATTCGTAACATCCGCAGTGTATATGCTGGCGTAGCGAAACAGTCGGCGGGAGAAGTAAGTAGGATTTGTGTCGGTCCTGAAAACGCTCCCGAATTGCTTGTTGAATGCTTGCTTCGCGAACGTTCTGAAAAATTGAAGGAAAATTGGGTATTCTGAATAAATGTCTCCACTGATGAATGAACATGAATAATTTCCTCAACAGTCCTTCGGGGGTCATTAACAAAATTTCCACTCAAGCAGTTGAAACGTTTATGAATTCCGGAAAATTTTTTATTGAAGAACACGTCATTAAAATATAATCAGACCGAATCGGCGATGATTTTATGGCTCTATCCTGTAAACATAAAATAAGGAGCAGAACTACAAAATTATTCTCTCCTGCTTTTACAGAAAACTAATAATTAAACACAGCTTTTCCTTCATGGTTTTACTATTTACCAGGGCTTCTCGGCTGTATTTTCGAGCATTCGTATTCACAGCTGCCATATTTTAATCATTATTTAAAAAATGTTTTACAAGCTCAATTGTCAGGTAAATAACTGACATAATTAATTCTATTTTAAATTCACCTGACGATGAAAGTTATACGTGTGAAGCTTTGTCCAGGAGCAGTTCTACTTCATCAGGAATGACCGACCACCAACGAAGTCGTAAAAAAAAAAAATAAATAGCGCACGCATATTTTCATCAAGGAAATACTTCGAGCGCAGGAAATCGACCATTTTTTAAAATCAACTAAAATTTGATAAAAAGGTCTAATTATGTTTCATGGGACAAATATGTCGAATTTCCAGTGATTTGCTTGACTTTCAAGAAATCCCTCGTTCAGACATTACCTCAGTTTTCTCTCTTCAGCTTTCCATTCTTGCAACACCGAGCAGCCTTCTGACCCGAATTTGAAGCACTCGTCTTGAGTTTCGTCGATGAATTGAGCAAGAACAAGCAACCAATTGAAAGTCTCCTTGAATTTCACGTCGTTGAAGATTTTAATTTCGTCCTGAAAAACAAAGGTTTCAACTTTCAATTTGTTTCGCGGTGATTTCAACTATACTAGAGTACTGAAAATTTAAACAGACCGACAATTCCTGCACTACTGCTGCCGTGTTCCACAGATTCTGCAAACTCAAATCCGCCAAATCAGAATAAGGATGATCGCCGAAGTAAAGAGTGTTCGTGCCATTCCAGCCAGTCAACTCTTGCAAAGCTGCGCAGTTCCCTTCAGTGTAAATTTGATTTTTCCGAAGCTGGCCGACTCGATCCCAGCTTACGGTTCCAGTACTCGGATCAAAGAACCGGAATGGCCTTGTTGTAGTCAGGAAGAACAATGGCTTGGATGCTGAGAAAACCGTCACGTCAAATAGTTCTCTCCAGTCTCTGCCCACGAGGAAACTCATTCCACGATTACTGGAAACAAAAGGCGCACATTTTAAATATGCTCTCATGCGCTGCTGCCATCCGTAAGAATACAAAAATAAAGAAAAAATGAACATAAAATCTGCCGCCACAAAGAAAACAAATGAAAATTTCACCGTTTAAATCAGATGAAAGAATGATATAGAATTCAGCCTGTACTTACACAAAATCGAAAGGTGAGTTAGTCAACAGGAACGTTTCCTTCCCTGATTTTCTTAGCCATAAAAGGAAATCACGGAGCGGCGAAGATGAGTCAATATATTTTTCAGTTTCTCCTCCAACAACATGGTGCATTTCCGCATGAACACCCTGAACGGCTTTCTGGAACATCAAATTTAAAATAATGCACATCCAATAATGAACAATGAGGTTCAATCTCGAATGAACAGTTTGGTTCGAGATCGAAATCTCGAAGCATACTCACGTTTACATCATCGAATAGCATTTTTGGATGAAACGTCATATTTCGAACCAACATCAAATGTTTGATTTGACTCAGTAAGCACATCTGCGATTTCGCAAAGGCGTCCGCCAATTGGACCATATTGGCAGCCTACACAAATTGAATAGATAATATGCATACAAAAGAAAGTAAAGGGTGCTAGACATGTAACTGCTTGATGCTTTTTTAATGAAACTGAAGTTCCCAGCAGTGAATGCGCATAATTGAAGGCCATCGCGTTTAACAATACTTTACTGTACAACTATATACTAGGGTTACCCCAGTTGAAAGCGACCTCTGATATTTTTTGAGAATGGGCGAATGTAAAAAAAAAAATATTTACGACAAAGCCCTTAATTTTCCAAGATTTTCTTCGGATTTAAAAAGAGTTCTTCAATATACTGCACAAGTGAAAACTTTCCAGGAATAACCAGAGTTATCCACCCGTGTCACTGGGTGCAAAAAATTTTCAAGACCAACAAGAAAAAACTGATTTTTTTTTAAATTATCTTTTCTACATTCTAGATAATCGCTAAAATCGAATAATTAGCTAGTAATACTTGTTATTTGCTATTTTATTTGTTATTTTGTGATGTCCTCATTAGACAGACACCAAAGCGATAATTTTAATAACTCACTTTCCAGGGCTTGTACCCGATGCTTGATTCCCCAGTGAAACCACCCCTCAGCATATATGCAGGAATGCTGAGATTGACCCCGTATATTTTTTTGACCTCGTCTTCGGTCAGTTGCTTCATACCACGGTAGACAGAGGAAACCTGACATTAAAAAATTGCTATAAACACTACATGCAACGCGTCAGTGGAACAAGAATTAAAATGAATTGAATGTAGAAAAAAATATTTACCTGTATTTTTTGAAACTGATCAACCTTGAGGAGGATTCCGTTAACAGTGTCGTAATGTAACCCGCGAATAGCGAAGTCGTCATCGTATTCGAAATCATTGATCTCTTTCGGATATTTGAGTTTCTCTACCAAAACCTTTCGAGCTAATTTGTAAATAAGCTCGTTCATTGTGCGTTTGTATCGTGCCAATGTGAAGTCGTAGTCGAAACCGTAGACCGAAATCTGACCCAGGTCCAGTCCGTTCGAAGCGAATACCATCGTCGGGTCCAGATCCATGGGGAGTTTTTTTGCTATAAAGGTATAAATTAAATTAACAAAATGTAAGTGGCTTACATTTTCTTACGACAGGGATTTTTATATTTACTGAAAAACTGGGAAAAAAGCGGACTTCGAGCTATTAAAAATAAATTACTTTTTTGTACACAATACAGTTTCCGAAAAACATGCAGAATGAGTAGGAGAAATCAACTGATCAACAGATCAGATTAATTTTTTAAAGTAAATATTCCAAATAATCAAAGTTATTCACATTTACAAAGTTATTCACATTAATCAAAAGTTATTTATGTTAAAAAAAGTTATTGAAGTTGAAATTAATCAATAATCAATAATTCAAGTTCAAATTAGCCCATAATTGAATTCCGCAAAACGGCATTGATGAATGAACGGAAATAAATCCAAGAGAATTCTTCTCTGAAACCTTACATTCGGTAACTTAAACACAGACACATATTTTAATGCCTTTCGAAACGTATTCGAAATCCAATTCAGCTTTCCAGTACTTGCAGTTTCTTCAATATTTTCAATATTACTGGTTGAGAAACCAGCAATTTTCAAGATATTTAATATCTTGAATATCGAGGACAAATTCTCTGATATAAGTTGTATACAAGTAGAGTAGCTAAACCTAAACTCTAGAATCTAGATGCTACAGAAATTTGCCAAAAAAAAAGGTTCTCAAAAAAACAAAAGTATCTACCTGACAACTCTTACATTGGCACAACCGCTTCGCCGATGAATACTTGTCCCACAAATGGTTGACCCGCGGGGAATGTTCGGGTGGAGGCACATCATACTCATATCTCTTATAGTCGGCGGGTTCAACGATTTCAGCGAAACATCTTCTTTGATGGGTCCACACTTGAGATATAAACCGTTGCTGGCAAATTATTCGCGAACTCGTCGTCCGGAAACACATCATTGCAACGTAAGCATCGCTTTGTAAACACAGTGATTTTTCAATTAGTGGTTCACTTCACGGAACCGAGAGACATCAGTCTACTACAATAGATTGGCACGCATTGACTGCATTAGTTTTTCGACCTGTGGGAATAATAGAGAATCGGAACGCGTATTACAGGCAAACACGAATTTGATGAATATAGCAGTGCCTCATTTAAGGAACAAACCACACGAGCAGCATGCATCAAAAATGGCTCACAGAACGGATCTAGTCCTCTACATGTGAATCCGATAGGACCCACAAATATCATTATACAGAGAAAATCGTTGTAGGGAGTCCACCTGTGTAAAAATACCGCGTTTCGTAAAAGTAATAATCAAAAAATAAAACGAACCATTTCCTACAAGGTGAAGAGAAAATTTTTAAAATAAATTTAAAAGAAGCACCAAAATTGTTTGTCATTGAGAGGACAAACGGCAAATGAAGTCAACTTCCTATCAAATTAAATTTTAAGAAATAATGTGACAATAAGGTCAACTCAGAAGAAAAAAAAAAAAAACAACGAAAAAATCCTTTCTAACAAATAATCTTGGAATTATCAGCAATCAGATAATAGAAACGAAAAAATTCGAATTTAAAAAAAATGCCGCTGATGAATTCAACGCGCCCTAATTTTTCATAACCAGAATCGAAAAAATTACGAGCCTGAGATTTGAGCGGACGCAAAACGCAACGGCAAAGAAATGAAAACCATCCAGAAAGGAGTTAGAATTCCACTTGGCAATCCCAAAGAACTTGACAATCCCGTGAAATAAGGAATTCAACAAAATACTCGATAAATAATTTGTGGTCACACGTCACCAAACCAACAGGTAAAGCTCTCCTCACGAACGCGACGAACGAAAAATCCTGAAGTGAGTTTTATTTTGTGGAATGAATCATAAAACGGCGCGCTCGCTTTCTCCCATGAAAATCACAGTAGTATTTTATACTTTTCGGACCGTGGAACTCGATTGAGAATCAACCGACCATCGTAACTGACTGAGGCAAAGGTCCAGGGATCCGCGACTGACCATTCTACAGCATAGACCGAATCTTCGTGATCTTCGTATTTCATCACAGCACCATCAACAGCAGGTATCCTGTCATAAAAATAATCCTAAATCATCCAATTCACAGTTAACAGCACTGTGCGAAAATAATACGTACAGTACCAATTTTTTCATATAACATCATCGATATACTGTACAGTATTAGCTTTTGCATTATACAAAGTGGACTTTAAAATTAAGTCCCGATTTTCAATCGGCAACTTGAAACATTGTCAAAGCTCAATTTCATCTCATATAGAAAATCACATTGAATTATTTTTGAATGTTAGTGAAATTTTTCATTTTTCAGAATTTCATAGCTGCTGTTCGAAGGATTTTTCAGACATTGTTATTGCATCGGAATTCAATTTTCCAGCATTTGAAATAGCAGTTACTGAAATAAATTCGGCGAAGCACTGTATTGATACGTTTTTTTTGTAAAACTCACTCAAATCTTGAAATGAAAGATCGGGTTAAAGTTGAAGATTATTCGGAAATAAAACAACGGGACTTTCCTTTGATCACAAATTCACCTGAACAGAACCCGTAATTTCTTTTCTCGTTTTATTAAGATATGGTAATTGAAAAATTAGGCACAGGAAGTACTGTATTTGCTGATCTTCATTATTTTACCTCTTCAAGAAAAAAAAAAACCCTATGAACCTTACTTTTCAGTTGATTTTTCAGCAAGCTCATTTCCAAGATCGGACGTATCGGCGCCAAGTTGACTGAGTGGTTCGGAAGAAACTGAGGTAGCTGACGTTAGAATGATTCTTCCATCACTGGACCCGCTAAGAACGAGTTGATCGTGAAAAGGATTGTACTTCACACTCCATACCCTGAAATGAACAAAATGAACTACACGCAGCTCTTGAAAAAATTACAAAAGATCACCACATGAAGATTCATATTGTTAAAAATAAAAGGCAGGAACTCATGTTTTAAATAATCTTATCGCTATGGGCAAGCAGAAAAAAAAATTGAAAGCACGTACGGTATTCAGATGTACGAATGAAGTGAAGAGTACAAGTCTAAGAGTCTTCCAAAGAAAAAGAAGGAGAACAAATAGAAAGTTTGAAGGGTATTAAAATGAATTTAAAAAATAATTGAATACCAGTGGGTGTGATCCGACATGGTAAACAACGGCATGTGCGATGATCTAATATCCCAGAAGTGCACCTTCGCATCATCACCGCAAGTGACGAGAAAATATGGCTTGTTCGGATTAAAATCCAGGTTCCTATCGGACGTAAATCCAAAAATTCATCCTCACGGTATTCTTTTGAAGCGTTTTCAACCAAGAAAAATCTTACCGTAAGCAAACTTCATGGGGTTTCTCGATGGAATAACCCAGTTTTTTGGAACGCAAGTCCCAAACTTGCAAGCAATTTTCGATACCAAAAGCTATTATTGACGCATTTTGATGAGGACCCCATTTGCAACAAGTCAATCCTTCACCGAGGCTCGAAGACTTTTCTTTCCAGGCACCAGTATCTACTTCAATTTGTTCCTACGAAATTATATGCGATATAAAAAAATACATGAATTCAAAGGGAGAAATTGATCTCTTTGAAAAATCAAAAATGAACCAGAAAATTTGAATCCAAAAAATAAATAGAAATCATAGAATATGAAATAAAAAATCGATAATTCGATTTTTAAAATGAATAAAATCGGAAATATGAAATAAAGTAAAAAATGTAAACTGAAAAAAAAATTGAAATCGTTCCAGAAAAATGCGATGGATGGATCGGTGTAAAGCGGCGAACGGTGGAATCCCAGAGAAACTTGAATGTTCACTTAACAAAAAAATCGATCTCGATTCCAACGATTCGCAACAGACAACCCAACTCTTGCATATTACTTCAATTTAAAGCGAATTAAACTTATTTTCGTCTAAAAAAAAAAAAAGAATAAGTACCAGGACTGAACAAACAAATACAGTACAGTATTAAACCGTCAATATTACGTTCATTTCCGTACTCGTTTATCCAAGAAGAGAAGCACAGGACTGCCAAAACTAATAGTCCCAAACTTGCAAGCAATTTTCGATACCAAAAGCTATTATTGACGCATTTTGATGAGGACCCCATTTGCAACAAGTCAATCCTTCACCGAGGCTCGAAGACTTTTCTTTCCAGGCACCAGTATCCACTTCAATTTGTTCCTACGAAATTATATGCGATATAAAAAAATACATGAATTTAAAGGGAGAAATTGATCTCTTTGAAAAATCAAAAATGAACCAGAAAATTTGAATCCAAAAAATAAATAGAAATCGTAAAATATGAAATAAAAAATCGATAATTCGATTTTTAAAATGAATAAAATCGGAAGTATGAATTAAAGTAAAAAATGTAAACTGAAAAAAAAAAAATTGAAATCGTTCCAGAAAAATGCGATGGATGGATCGGTGTAAAGCGGCGAACGGTGGAATCCCAGAGAAACTTGAATGTTCACTCAACAAAAGAATCGATCTCGATTCCAACGATTCGCAACAGACAACCCAACTCTTGCATATTACTTCAATTTAAAGCGGATTAAACTTATTTTCGTCTAAAAAAAAAAAAAAGAATAAGTACCAGGACTGAACAAACAAATACAGTACAGTATTAAACCGTCAATATTACGTTCATTTCCGTACTCGTTTATCCAAGAAGAGAAGCACAGGACTGCCAAAACTAACGAATCGACCAGCATCTTCGGCAAAACGATCAAAATGTTATGATTTTACTGCAAATCGAATGCACACTGCTGGTTTAAGGAGCGCGAAGTCTTGCAAAACACAGTAATACAATTCAAAATACACTGAGTAAACAGTCGTAACGCTTTGCCAAAAACGGAAGAGAAAGCAGGAGAAAGAAAGGTGAATACTCACTTCGACAGAACCCATTCCGAGGCTCCAAACAGTGAATTTGTTATCGGATGCTGTTAAAATTCTATCACCACTTGCCGGGTCCCAAGCGCAACTCCTAAGCCACAGAACACTTTAAAAGTTCTCATAAAAAATAACAGATAAAAAAAAAGATTCTCACTTGATTGAGTTCTCAGTGATATCTGTTGAAATTGAACATCTTTCTTCCAAATTAAGTGGCACAGGCCCCGTTTCATCCCGAGGAGATAAACTACAATTCGAAACCTCAGGCAGCTTCCAAACGGTCACGCCGTTTTCCCGGGAGTCCAGGGTTTCGTTCACTATTTGGAAGCGCAAAAATAAAATTCAGAAAAAAATATGCTCATTGGAATGCCACGATTTACCCAAGGACAAGGCCAAATCAAAATCAGTCAGGAATACACAATTAAATCAAGGTTTTTGTAAAATTCTTCGCACAAATCACACGGTTTTACGTAACTATCGCATGCTAAAAACTGGGAGATCTATCGCCAGCATTCATTCTTTTGAGTTCAGCCGGAGTGGGTTATTTCGGAATGGAATCATTTCTTCATCATAAGGAATAGCACAAGTCTGACAGTGAATACATTTGTTCCAAGAACTTCGGACTGAAGTTATTCGAATCTTTACACGCCTTGTTATCTAACGGCAGTTAAGCAATACGCCAAATGCAAATCAGGACATTTTCGAAACGAAAGGAGGAGTTGGTCAGTATATCTGATCATCACACTTCACAGAAAAACGAAAAAATCTCAATTACGATTTCGTTGAAGATGATTCAACGAAAATTTGTTACCACACACCAATGGAGTGGAATGTCATGAAAAGATCAGCATCATTCGGTGAGGCGCAGATGTCCCACACTTCTCCAGCGGGATGTAAAAATACTTGCTTTTCAAGCTGCGTAAATTCATCGTCAACTTCAACGAGGTGAATTTGATTTTTATTTGGGTATCCAGGTGCCCGAGAAGCTGGACTTTGAGTACCAACGAAAAATCGTACAACTTCTGTGTCTGCAATCTGGCAAGCAACGCATCTAGCCTACAGAAAGTAAGAACAGAATTAATTGGTGTCCGAAAATCGATCGAAATATTTCAATAGATTTACCGCTTCTATTAACAATTAATTTCGGATCGATGAACATTTATTCGATATTAATTAAGTAAATTTATTTCCATTCGTTGGGTTCATTCATATTACATTAAACTTAAATTAAATCACTCACCAGTGAACTAAATCAGAACTGTATCGCACAGGCATTATTTTTCATCTGAATTCAAGTAAATATTTTATTTTCTTTAACCAGAAGCAATTTCAAAATTCCTCCAACAAAACGACAACAATTATGATTTTCAAAATACCAAACACTGCACACTTCCTCGATTTCAACGCATTTTCTCATCAAAATCATTTTTATTTGGTTCGCAAAAATAGTGTAGATTAAAATTAAATCATAACTCGAAGCCTACATTTTTCACTTCAAGAGGCAGACGATTCCAGCTTTAAAAATGTCGGGGCCCACTTGTCACAACTATAAAAACGATGAATTTTAATGTACTTGGTTTTAATGTACAGTACTTACGGTGCATTCCAGTCCATACATCAATGGTGTAGCGTCTTCCATGCTGAAAACATGAAAAATCTCTCGATTTCGTAGGATTCGATAAATCACGCGGTATCGAAGAATCCTGGCAAAAAACCAAACAATTCTGAAATGCATTCCAAGCAATTAAAGTGCCCCTCTCGAAATAAATCTCCAAATAATTTTGTGTCCAGTGGTTCGAAATCACAGCGCAATAGACGTCGGTGCATTATGACATCAAAATATGCAATAAAATCGCGAGGCAAAAAAAAATCAAGCGGGAAGCTGCAACGAAGCCAATGGGAATGCATCCCCTTCGTATCTGACCACGCTCCGCAAAACGTCTTTCCGTCTTTCTACTGCAGCCTGGGGAGTGTTGACAAGCTCGTACATGGAGCAAAGGTTGAAAACCAATCCTTCGTTCAAAGCAGATTGAGGGTATTCTTTAACTGTATTTTCCAAGATGCAGATCGCGTCCCGCACACGGCCCTGGTATACTCGGCACACGGCCATATTATTCCGAACCTTGAAACGTAAGGTATTTCGAAGGCCAAATGACACGATTCAAAGTTCAACACCAAAAAGTACTCACCAAAACGTTTTCAGGAAACAGAAAGCGCAACTGCTCGAAATTTTTAAACGCATCGTCGTGAGCATTCTGGGCTACGGCCATTAGCGCAGAGTCCATCAAAAAATATGCTTTCCGTTTTGCTGCGCTATCCGGACCAGAGTGCGACGATGTCGCCTGCCAGGCACGCGTGAAATGAACTTGTGCCCTCTCAATCATACCCATTAGAAGGAAAACTCGACCGAACAGTGATTCGAGAATGGATCTATGGTCCGGATCTGTTTCCATCTCTGACCACCGTTTAAGGCTTTGTACGGCGAGTTTTAGATCCTACGAAACAGGAAAGGGATAAAAAAAAATCAGGCTAATGAAATCGTCGGCTTTTGGATGAAAAAGATGGAACTTGAATAATAATAATTTTCACCCAAATGTCATGTCCGACCCAGCTTTCTTACAAGTAGGCAACTTGCATTCATCAAATGATTTGGATTAAAATCAGGATTCAGATCGTGATCATGTCCACCAATGTGCAAAAAAAAAAAAGCTTCCTCAGAACCATTCACCCCTTTATCATTTGAGGGGATAAGAAGGGACTTGTGCCCTAGACAAATAAGCAAACATTTCCAATAAAAAATACTGCTAGCACACATTTCCAATAAAAATCAAAAGGCGGAAACCTCAAATTTGTGAAGGCATGAATCGTGATTAATACAGATGTCCCGCGTGACCTAGCATCACGATTTCACAATTCAACTTTCCCTTCAATTACACAAGGGAAGAGAAATATATTTTCGAAGTGCCTTATTTTGAAAACATGTCAGACGCTTCGGTTAAAAGGAAGCTGTAACAAATTACTACAGGTAAACTGACCTTGTTTGAAATACAAATATTGACGGCTGTACGTAACACTTCACAACGTCGTTTCTGCCATAAAGAAATGGAGAATTGCCGTTCTGCTTCCTTTATCTCAAGGTTTGAGCCGTCTTCTCTCAATCCCGCTTCAAGATTTGCCAACATCTGCATAGTCCGAAAGAACATCAATTCAAACTATAAATCTTATCGCATAAGTTTGAAACATCAAAGCTTTCATGAAATATTTTTTTTACAGAATCACTTTTACAGGTTTACGCAATAGTCCGAAATTATTTTTGAAAATGTATCGTTCAAGACAAACGAAAAAACTGCATGTTTCAGCTAGCTGAAAAAAAAACCTTTTTGACAATTCCTTCGAAGTGATGTAAACGCTCCAAAGCTTCTTTATCGCGTCCAGCATTTGATAACACCACAGCTGAAAGCAACCTCAGTCCAAAAGGCACCATGGATCCTCTCCGACCCCCATTCAAATCCGGGCTCCATTCAAGGTACAAATCCGGATTATCCAAATCCCCGAATGCTTCCAACTCTCGCAGAGCTTCAAAGGAGAGCCGCAGCTTCGACAGACACATCAGTCTGATAAACCACAGCTAAAACAAGCGCAAACACAATAATTTTAGGCAAACAACAATATTCAAAAACTGGGTACATGATGCTGTAATAATCGCGATGAATTTCATCCCTATCTGCTGTACGAAAACCCCGTGAGAAGCTCATAACGAGATTAATATAATGAGGAAGGTATGGTAGTTGATTCCGGTTCACCTGCAAAGAATGTGTCGTGTGTCGACTCGGTTGACCCAGTTTCCCAGCTCCTTGTCCATACATATTCAGCAATCGACTGGTTAACAGAACAGCGGCATTGTAACACCCACGCTGATCGTGAACAACAAAACTTATTCACATTTCAAAAAGCAAAGGAAGAAACTAACTCTGATAACGCACTTCAATGAGGATAGCAAGTCCACGATCATCCTGTGTGACAGTGTCGGCGGTTGGGCAAAATTGGTCCATAACAGAATGATCGAAGTCAGGGAGATGTTCCGTAACAGTCCTTTTTAGAGGATTTACCTAAGATAAAATAAAATATTGCAGCATATAACAACGAAGGGAATCTGCAACAGCTGCATTTTAATCCTAGTATCTTTTGAGGAACTGCACATTTCGGAAAAAGCCATCGTAAGAAGGAATACAATGAATGTTCACGCAGAATTTACGTCTTGATTTCGTGGAAGTTCAGCAGAACAAATATTTTTGGATCGATTTTATTTTCTACAAAAATCGCGTTTGGCTCTTCTCAATTCAACGGACAACATTATGGACTCCCGCTTATTTTTTCCAATTATAGAACCGTCTTTTGAAATTCTTCAAAGTTTCCTTTGATTCAAAGTCGGTTGAGATATGGTAAATTCGGTTCGTCAGGTTAGCTTGAATCAGACGAAGTTAACCTTTTTTCATTTTCGTTCAACTTAGTTCGAACATTTTCCATCACGTAAATGATTCAGGCGACACCTGCCTAAAATCCCAAGAAGCAAGGCTGGACGCTGAAGTGAAAATGATGAGGGCGCAAGTGAATTTTGACATCTGAATAAACTTACTGTCAAACCTTCGTACCGCACCCCCGGCATCGTGAGAAGGCTTTTATTCGGGATATAAGTTCCTCTCGGAGAAGTTGCCATCAATACCAAAGCTTCTCTCGTAGCACTGCAAGGGATCCAAGCATCCCTGCATCGACTGTAGTTCACGTTAGCACCTAAATCCATGCTCAATCCTCGCAATGGTGCTTCTTCATGAATCTTTAACCCCTGAACAGCCTTGGAAGAAAATATTTTCCTTAACCTCGCCGTTCTGACAATATGCTCAGTAATCACGAATAATTTAAAAACTAAAAACACGTGAAAATGGTACATGTTGGGTACACACAGAAAAATTGATTTGAAAAATCAAAGGCTTCTGAAACAATTGAAAAGGGAAATCCTAAACCAGATTATCAACGGAATAGCTAGAGGATTTCACATTCAGAGAAGAAAGGATCGGATAAACATTTCCGTTTAAAAGAATCAGACGAAGAGAAAAAAGATCAGAGTAAATCCTCGCAGAAATACATCAGCTCTGGTTCAACCTTGAAATAAAGAAAGCAAGCTTCGTGAGAATCCACAACTCGAAAAAGTACCTGGGTCACGATTTCATCGAAAACACTCGACTCTCCTTCCGCGTCTTGAAATTTGAATATCTTTGGCTCTGAAGCGCGTTTTTCTGGCAATGGCATTTGTTGTTCGCTCAACACAACGTCTACTTCGACCGGAACTTCTTCAGCATTATGGTCAGTATCTGCACTGGTAGAGGACTTGTCTTGCTCAGCGACTTGAGCACAAAAGCTAATGGGTTCATTCTCCGAACTGATTTCATCGGGAGGTTCGTCCTTTAAAATATCAACACATTGCATCACGTGACGGGAAAACATTCGAGGATGAACCCGAACGCATAGTGAAGAATATAGTTAAGCGATGAATATCTTACTGCTGAGTGTTCAGGATTGGATTGCCGCGATTTACCCCGTTCAAAGATTGTCAACTAGTATCGAATATTCAAGCTAACACCTTTACGACATGAGATGAATTTATCGAATAATGCATTTTAAAAAGTATGCAATAGATGAATAAATTTTGTTCTTTGATTTTCCTGCAGAAAATTGTCGTTTTTTGGGCTGCTGAAAAATTTCCATTTACGTAATCCGTTTAATTTTTTTAATCCAGGAAAGTGCAGGAGGTGAACTTGGAGCTCTGTTGAAAACCTCGGGAATTTCCTCACCGTCGTCACTGAAAGTTGGGGTGAAACGACATTTACGGGTTCTTCATTTTCCGCCTCCTCCTCCTCCTCTGCACCCAAGGCCGACATATTGCCGACACAGCTTTTCATTACAGCTGAACGGGCCAGGGGACTCGTAGGACCCAAGGAGGACCTACGGCTATCTTCAGACGCTTCCAGGGGTTCATCATCTTCAGGGGCTTCGTCAAACGTTACTACTTTCGTGGGTAACTCTGAACGACCTCCGTCGAACAGCTTATCGAACTCTCCACCATCGCCGGAATCGGTGAAGTACTTAGCAAGCTCAGATTTCCCTTCATCGGATGCCATTGCGACAGAGTTCTGATGGTCAAAATTCTCGTTAAAAACAACAAAAGCAAAGTTTTGATACGTTGACTACAAAAGATGAACAACGCGAGAACTTTTTCCAAATGTTTAAATGCCATTCGCGGCTCACAAGTAGAAGCAGTAAGGACCACAGAAGATTCAAGTCGAGAGAGATAGATATTACAATCCTTATTGAAAAAAATAATAAAGATACGTGAAATAAAGACAGCTGGAACTCCCCAGGCCTAAGAATGGGAAGAGCTTCTGCTTTTGAAGTAAAAAACAAAAACAAAACCGGAAGTAATCATCTATTCATTTGCTACAAATTGTCTTCAGTCGCACGATGGCCTTGACTTGAGCCACTTCTTGTAGACCATTTAACAAGTTAGATCCGACTTGAAATACAGAAATATTTACTATGGAGAGAAATTTCATTATTCAAAAAATTGTGTGGCACATGGAAATTCATAAACTTTCCAATGCGGCAAATGTAATCGTGACTCATTCCCTCAAAAGAAGGGGGTACATTTTCGGTTTTTAATCTATAAAAACAAAGTTTGTTCCAAGATTTTGCAAGTACTCATGAAATTATCGGATATTACTAGACAAAAAATTGTCGTTTTTTTAGGATTCAAATTAACACACCAGAATTGCTCGATGACATTCGGAAAGCTAAATAATCGCAGTTAGAAACTCACACAAAAAGACTCATCCAACGCGAAAATAGAGACGTTCACATCACTTCATCACCACACCTGAAACAATGCACCAAAACCAAATCTTGAGGGTGTTCTGAAGTAATGTGTTACTGTCATAAATGATGCGCATCATGACTCCACTGTATTACACTGCACTTGACCAGATTGAGGCAAACTTGATACAATGAAAACAACTAAAAAAATTGAAGCCAGGAACAGAGCTGTTGATTACGGTCAACAATTCAGAAACCCAGCTGACGGGCAAAATTGATTCCTTAAATGCTAATCATTCAATTCATAAGAAATCGCGTTCTCAATTCGCAATTAAAATATGAGGAAAGAAAGCAGCTCCACGATTCAGACATGGAAATTACATGTATGATAAGTTAGGCCAATTACAAAGAGCTTAAAAAAATGAGATCATGTACGGCAATGAAAAACATGTCCTTCAAAGTTTGCTCTGAATTTCACTTCCCATGGCTGAATTGATATTTTCCTCACGCCGCAAAAAATTCAACATTCAACTGCGACGAACAATTCTCATTAGGTAGCAGATAATAAGCATTCTGTCCACCACCGACCCTACATAACACGAAGAACAGAACAATGTTTTCCGAAAAAAAGAACCCCCGCGAAGGGAAAAAATAGGACATGATGGTCATAATAACGACTCATCCATCACTCAAACGCATTTGAACTCACAGCGGAGTTTCGGCTTCTCGAAAATCCCATGGCAAAACGAACAATGCTTTTGGTAACAGTGAGCAGTGATCCATGTCGTAATCGACGACATGCTTCTTGTACTGGAGAAGGCAAAAAAAATTTCATTTTTGGCAAAACATGTATGAACTGACAACTGCGCGAAGAATAAGGTGCGTATAAAGCCTTAATTTGTGGCGAAAACGTTGGTATCTTCAATTCAAATCTCGGGGGGAAGGCACAAAGAATTCCAACAAAAATCTTTATGAATACGTCGGGAAAATTCAATTTATTTAAGCAAAAAAAAAAAAGAGATCGTAAATGTAATTTTCTGTTCACCTCGATCCTCAAATCAATATCGGTACGCTACCCTAACATACTATTATTACTCATGCGCGAGGAAATCAGAATCAAATAGAATTTGAAATTACTGTACTCAGTGCTGAATTGAACTTCTATTGAGATTAACCAGGGACCTCCAACCCGCCAAGACATCAATTTCACGAAAAAAAAAAAAATCCGATTGAGAATTTCTGCCCTGCAAATTCGTCGAAAGCAAACTAAGAATATCGAAACGATCGTCTCGTCTTTGAAACCGACCGGCCGTAGAGGTTTTGCAATTTTTATTCCTTTCCTTCAAGCACATTTGGTTACATGGAGTTTCCAACGAAAAAAATAACACCTATTCGTCACATAGGTGTTACTGGAGAAGGATTCGCCACTGGAGAAGGATTGATAGTTCAAAAACTCGGTACATCAGTACATAATCTACAATATTCTAAATGTTGTAAACAAATAGTACGAGACATGAGGATTGAAAGATCGTTTTAATTAATACAACGTCACATCCAGATTTTTGAAATTCGAGAATTTTGAACGATTCATTCAAATCTGTTCCGGCTAGCATAACAGACAAAACAAATAATTTGATCATACGGCACGAGCTTCAACATTAGGAATTAAGTAAGGAAATGGTTGTTGGCAAGTCATTGAACTGATACATATCATTATTTAAGCCCAACATTCGTAAAAAGCTTACCAGATGAAGCGCGAGTTTGATACGCGAAGCATCATCCGTAGCGTCTATGAGAGAAGGAAAGTCCGCTCCTTTCTGCTGGACGTGATCTCCGATCAAAGCGTCCAATTCCGCGTCGCCTTCGCGATACTGATAACTCGATGCAACTCGGCTAGCTAAAATCAAAACACGTTTCAATTTCGATTGACGCACCAGCGGGATAAACTGGGTCTACCTTCTGAGGAACTGTTCGCTTCTGCGAAACGCTTGGCTGCTTTCAATGCTTCCCCTCTGAACACTTTCGGGTACCTGTGCTTCAAAAATCCCAGAGCCAAATCGATCCCGCGATTAGTCGCTTGATTCCCGGGTCTAAAAACCATGCAGGAATTTTATTCAATTGCGATAAGATCATGGAAAATCAATACGGGGTTCATGAAATGAAACAAAAACTCACTCGACGCATATTATTTCATCACGCAACCTTTTAACGAACATAACAGGCCCTGATTTGTACTCTTTCAACTGCTTCAACACGTTCAAGTCGAAATGAGACCTCAAAGTTTTCTCCACAATTGGATGAAGTACCTCCGGCATTTTTGAATACGCAAGAGGCACTACGTCATCAAAACTTGCATCCAAAATCTGGACACAAAAACGAAGCAAAATTAAGCTTACCCGAGTTATTTTTTCTAGGAAAATTTGGGTTTAAAATTTTGATTGTAAAGGACAAACCACAGCTCTGGCATCAGGATACTGCTTCGCTGCCCAAGATGCTGAATAACCCCCAATGCTCCACGCAAAAATCACGATTTTATCCAACGGAAACTTCAACTCATTGATCGCGAATTGCATGACAGTGTCAATGGCATCTTGCTCATCAGCGGGATACGGCAATCCCTGTAGCGGAAATAAATACTGTATAACGGAAGGTATTCCACGAGCACGAATTCAAGCGAATCATCATAAAATTATTTGGCTCCAGGTTTCGGGGAAAACATTTAAATTTGAATAATGGAGGTCCGTGAATGTTCCATTACTTACGGTTGAACCCCCAAAACCGGGGTGATTCCAGCCAAGCACAGAATACCCTGCTTCCAAAGGAGTGTTGGGTGTTCCAACTTCATAGAACCCTGCATTGCCTTCACAACAGACCACCAAATAGTCTCCATGGGGTTTCCTAAGACAAGTGATCATAAATACGGTATTCAACGCTTATACTTCATTCGGCAATGCCTATGCTTGAAAGATTAGCAATCACAAAGCAGTAGAGGTCTACATTTTCACAGTCCTCCCAACAAAAAAAAGAGATTCTGGATAAAAAAATAATTGCGAAAGTTTTTACAATTTGAGTTCCAACGGAAAACTAGCCACGTTTCTAATTTTGTAGTACTGTACCGCATTTATTCAAGTACCACGCGCCTTCAAGTTAGACTTCACCCTAATATTCTTCTGAAAATCTTGTCAAAAATGCCAGTCTCGCATAAGACATGCACCCCAGTTTTCTGTTTTCTAAAAATCACAAATTGTGAAATCACTTTTAATTGTGTAGGTATTCAGTAAAAAAAATTAATAGTGTGTACTTCCTGAAGGACAATAAAAACATAAAATATGGCAGCTTCCTCCATCAGATAATTCCTCTCGGAAGGGTAAATACAGTACAGTATTCATTTCGATACTAAGGGAGTAAAGAATCCTTTATTTTCTGTAGCATTATTGGAGAAACCATTTTTGCTGCTTCATATGTAAATACAGTATTCCTAAAATTGTCATTGCTTGAACGATTATTTCTCATGGACTCGAAAATTTGGCGCCCTGCATTTCCTTTCAACCTCCCTCCCCCTTTCGTAAAATATTTTTTTTATCTTTGGAACTTGAAGTTTTTACTTCTGAAACTGAGACACAGTATCACTAGCAAACCGGTACAGATAAACAGGTATCACCAACAGAGCTTCAGGGGGTGGTTTTTTTTTTTTATCAAGCAGAGATACTGCACCTGGTTGGATCAAGACCGAACACAAAATTTCCGAAGAAAATCGACTATTAAATCATGAAGAGATCGATGGGAAATTGAGGAATGAACTGGTAGAACAAAGTACGATGTACCGTCTTCACTAGCGTAACACGCGCACCTTTTTCCCAGAAATTGCGACAGAAAAATAGTGAGCGCGAATTACTTGGGGATACATTTTCAACGGGAAAAAATCCCCAAAACCAGAGCCCCTCACGGGCATGTGAGTACAACTAACCAACAGAAAATGAATAAAACGGAAATGTGTGGTGCCAAGTCTCCTTTCCCATTGAAAATAATGGTTCAAGCAATAATAATTTAAGGATTCAGTTGGAGATTCAACAGGAAGTGGAAAATATTCCTAAATTGTGGAAACTACAGACAGTAAAGAGCAGGAAAAACTCAATATCAAAGGGTGAAAATGGATCGACACAGAAAAGTTTCACAATTCTTGATTTTTAGCAACAACAAAAAACTGGGGTGCGCGTCTTACACAGGTATAGGTTTTTTTGACGAATTTCTTACAGAAAAACGGGGTGGGAGGCTTACTCAAGGGCGCATGGTACTCAAGTAAATACGGTATTAAAATACCCCATCGCAGCAAAAG